ATGCAAACCCGCTGAAACTCACATACAAAGACTCTGCTGACCGTTATCATGAGAGGCGTGACTTCGGCACTAAAGTCTCTGCCTGTGCCTGCCCCTACTTTATATTTGTTACATGTTCCCATTCACATAGCATAATTTAAAAAATAATTAAAAATTGCAATTCATCTTTCTTAGATACTCTATTCTGGACCTTCTAGCAGGGAAAAATCCTACATAATTCTCTTTGTTTATGAGGGTGCAGGGAAGCTGTGATTTCCATAATTAACCCTGTCTGTATTTTGTAGGTACATCTTCATTATCAGTTGAAACTAGATTAGGGCACTGTCTATTCTAACAAAGGTTTAAAGGTTTCTCGCATTATATGCTGATGAGGACAGACCTAGGACAGGCTCACAATGACATTGCTCAAAAAACTTGCAGTCAGTCATGCCATCTTCTTATTAGAAACATCTAAAAGATGAGAAATATATTTTTTTTTTAATATGCACACTGTGTAAATGGGAACACATAACAAACATAAAGTGTGGTTTTCTCAAACTTGACTACAAGACTGGAAATATGCTTGAAGGCCTCTTTCACACGGGCGTTCCATATGTCCGTTTTTCATCTGTCCATTTACGGATGACTAACGGACACCCATGTATTTCTATGGACTAGTGGATGTAAACGGATGATCATCTGTTTACATTTATTAATGTCCGTATACATTAACATGTTTTTTTGAACAGAAGAAACCCCTATTTTTCTTCCATTAAAAAAAAACTGAACAGATAAAAACGGATGTAAATGGCCAAAAAATGGATGTCAGCGGATGAAACTGGATAAAAAAACAGATGTGAATGGATGAAAAACTGATGTAAACTGATGAAAAACGGATGTAAACTGATGAAAAAAACAGATGTAAACTGATGAAAAACAGATGCGAACTGATAAAAAAAAAAACTGATGTAAACTGATGAAAAAACGGATGTAAACAGATGAAAAAAACAGATGTAAACTGATGAAAAAACTTATGTAAACTAATGAAAAACGGATGTGAACTGATGAAAAACGCATGTGTGATGAAAAACGCATGTGAACTGATGAAAAACAGATGCAAACTGATGAAAAAAACAGATGCCAACTGATGAAAAAACGATGCAAACTGATGAAAAAACTGATGTAAACTGCTGAAAAAACGGATGTGAACTGATGAACAAACAGATGTAAACTGATGAAAAACAGGATGCAAACTGATGAAAAAACTGATGTAAACTGCTAAACTGATGAAAATGACAAACAGGATGTAAACTGATGAAAAAATGCAAACTGATGAAAAAACTGATGTAAACTGAAAAAAACGGATGTAAAAAAAAACTGATGAAAAAAAAAAATGGATGTAAACTGATCCGTTTTTGCTTGGAAAAAAAGTGACTGAACTGATGAAAAAAATGTAACGCCTGTGTAAAAGGGGCCAAAGTTTTGCTTCTCACAATACCTTAGGTTTTGTAAATGTGTTACTATTTTTTAGGATGGTATTGATGGTATTTAGGATGGAAACCCCAATTCCTTTTTGAATTCCACAGAAAGTTTTAAATTTAATAAAAAGCAGCTCTTGTTGCAATACTCCGCTCCTCTCCGCTGCTGTCATCTGCTGAAATTGCACTGTATGTCCTCAGTATTTTGCATTAAAGACACAGAGCACTGAGGACATGATGTCAATGAAGAGTCATGGGCACCCCTCCCATTGCACATTGAACAGTGTAAAGATGCAGAGCGCCGTACTGACATCATCACGTGAGCGTCGCTCGCTGCATCTTTTAGAGTAGATCCAAGGAGTAAGGGGATGCTGCATATTACATGATTGGCCTTAAAGGATCAGAAGCGGTAAGTATTAAAAAAATACAAAATGTGTGAATGTGTTATGTCAGCTCCATGTACACGGGACGTTTGGAAAACACTTCTGAATGCTGGAAACTGACTGCTGGAAAACGTAGGTTAAAAAACGTATGTTTAGCCGTGTTTGCATACCGGGTTTTCATGTCGCCTTTATGAGTGTTTAGAAATGTTTTTTAAAGATAACCTCAGGAGACCTTCCAAAATGCCCAGAATGCACTGAGAAACAGTAAAAAAATTAACTATTTCAGACATTTTGAGAAAAACAGAGCAGAAGCATAGAGAGCAGTATTTGTTGAGATTAGCTGTCTTTTTTTTTTGTGGTTGGATGTGTTCCAGCTCATTTCTGTGCAGAAATTATTGCAGCAGTGTCTAACATATTTTCTTTCCTGCAAAACCTCAAAGTATGGTGTACCAGATCCATTTGAGTACCCGGGAAAACGCTTTGCATGCATTTTTCATGATGAAAAAAGGCTCTGGACAGCATCTGGAAATGGAAGAGTTAAAAAATTTTCCAAACGCAAATGCTTATAGATGCAGTTAGCCGCATTTACAAGAGTTTGAAATGCTGATAAAATCTACTCCTGAGCGCAAGTTTGCTGCGTTCAAAAAAAACGACTGTAAATGACATAGTGTACATGGACACATAGGAAAACATTAGGGAGAGTTCAGGGGCTGCTGAAAAAAACGCTGAACAGTTCTTGAACGTGAGTTTATCAGCTGCAGTGTACATGGAGCCTTAATGACAAACCCCAGCTACTGTATCAATAATTACCCCCTAATATTTATAATACAAACTTATTTATTAGCATCATACTGTGCAATACAGCATCTTGAGGACAAAACCGGTAGGTCATGGCTACAGGCACATGACGTCATGCCGCATTGAGAACAGTTGCTTGCACACAGGAGAGGACAGATGAAGTGGTGTTATAAACCACATAAGTTGTAATATTAGTAGAAACAGAAAAATGACAGCAGAAAAAGACCCCGGGGGTGGTTTGTGTTTTTTTTTTTGGGGGGGGGCGGGTTTTTTTTTTTTTTTTTGTCTAAGTATATAGATCTTTGCTTGTCTTGATGTTATTTAGCCCTGGTTCACATATGTGTGGGTGGTGCCGCTGCAGATCCGCACGAAAATCAGTGCAGCCGCACCACCCGCACAGAGGAATGCGGACATGCGGGCAGGTGCCATTAGTTCTAATGGCAATCTGCCCACACCGGAAAACGCAACCGTACTGGGAACCGAGGTTCCCACGTGGGCTGCATTTTCAGAAGAACTGCAGGGACTTCTTCCCTTCATGTCACGGGACACAGGAGTCCATTCAAATGAATTGGCTCTCGTGCCCACGCAAAATGCGGTCCACATGGCCACATATATGTGAACCAGGGGTTACTGTTGACTGGCTCATTACCTCTGCTGGAAGTTTTTTCCAAGCATCAACTACTCTTTCAATAAAATAGTACTTTCTGAGATTAGTTTTGAACTTTCCTCCGGTTAGTTTAAGGTCATGTCCTCGTGTTCTTAATAGGATAGCACTGCCGAATGTCAATGAATCGGTTTTATTTGCTTTTAATGTATTTTAATAAACAGAATTGTGCAATGTTTTCCTCTTATCCTCACTTGATTTTATGTATAATGACGGCTTTTAAATCTGGATATTCTCAAGCAAGTTTGACCCATAAATCTTAAGAGTCTTGTTTATTGGTGAGTTCGTTGAGTACTGGGGAAGGATTGGTTGAAGGTTGAAAGTTGCACATTGTCAAATTTTTGAGGGATACACTTTTGATGTGATTGAATATTGCACTGGAGAATTGCACATAGGACTACATTGACGGTGTTATAGAAATTGATGCATGCAGGGGGGGTTTGCACATAGGACTTTTTGCACAGATTTGTTGTATTTTGCACAGAATTGCTTGTACAGTTGTTGCACACTATTATATGTTATAGGAATTGATGCATACACAGCTCCTGAGTTTTCCACCAGAGATTTTTGAATTTTGCACAGAATTGCACATTTTTATATGTCCGTATATAAGATGCTTTTAATATATTTTAAGAAGCCTTTATAGCACAGACACTTTTAATTATAACAATTTAGTACACATGGATAATTAGTGTGTCTGTTTAATTTTTATAAAAAATACAAAGTATAAAATGCACACTAGGGGAACCTCCAGGAGGTGGAGGGACAGTAGCTGGGTTTTAGCTTTTAGAATCTACCCTAACATAAATAAATAACTTTTTGTGGACCTATAAGGCTTTAAATTGGTAGCCAATTTTGATGTATTCTTTTTATGGGTTTTAATTAGGTAAAAAGTGGGAAAAGTCAGGAAAAAATACACTTTTCTGTACATTGTTTCTCAGCACAACATTTATGTAATTTGCAAACCCACAGATATTTAAAGTAAACATCAACAAAGTCTTTTTTTCTCTTTTGACACTTCATTGTGGTGCACACAGGAAAACACTGTTAGTGTAACATTAAGATTAGATGGTTGAGCTAAAATAAAATGTTTACAGGTTTGTAGTTGTTAAAATGCTGAATCATTATGTACTCACTTGAAGTAAGCACAAATGTCATCTAGAGCATCCAAAAATTTGCGTAGGATATTGGGATTAATGTGTAGAGGGTTTATTTGCTGTGATGTCACAGATGACATCACAGCATTTCCCTTTAACTATGATGTGGAAGCACTTTGTTGCACTGTGCTGCTATGGGATGCACACATGGAACGTTCTCTAGCATGATGAGCTCAGTTCCTGGGTTTAGTACTGTATCATGGCTATTGCCAACAGCTGCCAGTTCCAGCCCTAAACCCTGCTGAGATTTACCAGAGACAGGACTGCTGATAAGACAGTACAGCCAGCCCCCCTGGACCAGGCTTGGGCCCCATTGGTTCAAAAGGGGGTCCTGGACACCTGCCTTTAAAAAATTTAAATTGTTCCAGTAGTAGTAGCAGTAGTGTTAATACGAGGGTTCTTCAAAAAGTTTCCACACTTTTTAAAACTCTATTATTTATATAAATGTGTGAAAACTTTTTAAAAAAAACCCCTGACTGTGTATTGACTTTAAAATGGTTGTTTGAAGCCCATATTTAACTATTTGGATTAACCACTTAAGGACCGCCCTATAGCAGATATACTGCTACAGGGCGGCACCTGTGCCCAGAATCACGTGTATATACGTAATTTTGCATTTTCCGGGTAGGGGGCGCATGCGAGCCCTACCCGTGCCGCCATTCATGGCCGCGGATGTCAATCACCGGGTCCTGGACAGTAATTACCCGCCAGCACCCGGTGATTACCGAGCATCTCCGAAGGGGATGCTCGATTGTTTTGTTTACAAACAATCTTCCTCCCTGTCAGCTCGAGCACACTGCTCAGGTGGCTGTGCACAGTACAGCAATCCCGATCAGTGTGCTTACAGTGAAGAACACCCACTAGTAAAACACTCCCAGCACACAATTAACCCTTTGATCACCCCTCACATTAACCCCTTCCTGCCCAGTGCCATTAGTACAGTGTCAGTTCTTTTTTTTAGCACTGATCACTGTATTGGTGTCACTGGGGTATCAGTGACACCAAGTTAGTTCCCCCCCAGTGTCAGAATGTGTCCCGCAGTCCCGCTATAAGTTGCTTATTGCCGCCATTATTTGTAAAAAATTTTTTGTAAAGATTCCAGTATCTATAGCACCATTTGTAAACACTTTTTTTTTTAGCACTGATCACTGTATTGGTGTCACTGGGGTGTCAGTGACACCAAGTTAGTTCCCCCCCAGTGTCACAAGGTCTGCCACAGTCCCGCAGTCCCGCAATAATTCGCTGATCGCCGCCATTACTAGTAGAAAAAAAAATCCCATTATCTATACCGCCATTTTTAAACACTATAACTTATAAACCAATTAGTTTACACGGATTGGGATTTTTTTTTTAGCAAAAACATGCAGCAGAATAAATTTTGGCCTAAATTTATGACAAAATTAGATTTTTTAAATTTTTCTACTGGACATGTTTAATTGCAAAAGTCCAAAATATAGTTTTTTTTTTCTCAAAATTGTCGGTCTTATTTTACTTATAGCGCACAAAACTAAAAAACGCACAGGCGATCAAATACCACTGAAAGAAATCTCAATTCGTGGGAAAAAAAAGAACGTAATCCTCATTTGGGTGCAGTGTTGCATGACTGCGCAATTGTAACGCAGCGCCGTAATGCAAAAAAACAGCCTGGTCAGGAAGGGGGGTAAATCCTCAGGAGGGCAAGTGGTTAAAGGAACAGAAAGTAAAAAGCATGTCCTTTTCCTCTGTACAGTAAAAACATTAACAAAAAAAATAGGATATCCTTCTGCTTCCCTGGGCGCACATTCTCAGTTTCCTAACTTCAGCAGATGAAGAGGTGACGTCTGTGGGGCCTTATAAATGGATACCAGGGTTCCAAGTGCTCTGACGTTCAGGGAACTCTGTGGCAGAACAATAAAATGAATATTTCATATCCTGGTGCTAATTCCAGCTTTACAGAACAATAGCAGATGATGTAATTTATACATATTAAAAGATCTGCTACCTAATAAAAGATGTTTTGTAACAACAAAGTTAATAACATATAAATTTAGTGCACCTATTCTGTCTGACCACTGATTGATTTTATACAAATATCAAAGCGGAGTATGAAAATATCCATTGAATCCTTTATGCTCTTCTCCCATATTCTTTTCTATTTATTTATTTCAGGTACTTATATAGTGCTGTCAATTTACGCATCGCTTTACATATATATATTGTACATTCACATCAGTCCCTGCCCTCAAGGAGCTTACAATCTAAGGTCCCAAACTCACATTCATACATACATCTAGGGCCAGTTTAGACAGGATCCAATTAACCTACCAGCATGTATTTTGAGTGTGGGAGGAAACTGGAGTATCCGGAGGAAACCCACGCAGACACAGGGAGAACATGCAAACTCCAGGCAGGTGGTACCATAGTTGGGATTTGAACCAATGACCCTAGTATTGCCAGGTGGCAGTGCTAATCACTTAGCCACTGCGCTGCCCTATATTTTACATTGTTACCCTTGACTCATTGTTGTTTCCATTTTCTTGGGGCAGCAGCAGTTGTCTATCATTGCAATCTGTGCTAACGCACCAAGTCTATGAAGCAGGCATGACGATCAGGTGTCACATGGGCCATGTGTAGCCCTCTTTTTTTCTTGTGGCCCACATTTGCTTTAGCCACTTCCCACCTGCAGGATGTCTTATGATGTTCTCGGGTTGAATTCAGGCATCATCCCAGTATTAAAATTTGCAGCTGGCGATTCCCTCTACAGCAGAAGCAGCTCAAGTGGCTGAACAGCAACTGTATCACTTCTGCGATGGCACAAAGGAGTCCCTTTCCCCGTCCAATTGCAGAGCCCAGGGGTGCGGCAACCATCGGTGACAGTGGCACTACAGAACTGATGTCGTTTCTCCCTCTCTGTGACCCAGGAAATAGGAAACTATGAGGATTTCGTCACTTCTGGCTTTGGCTTTTTGCTTAGCTGGCCATTAGTGGCCAGGTAAGCAGCTGATCAGACCGATCTGTGTTCCAACCGGCTGCATTGGAGACCAAAGGAGAGATTTGGGGTGTAATAGACCCCAGATCTCACCATAAAGGGGACCTGTCACAGCTCATGCTTTCACAAGGGATGCTGTCCCTCCCCGTAGTCTTCTGTGACACGTGACAGGTCCCAGAAGACTATGGGGCCATTCACAAAGCGCAGCACTTCTCCGCATGCGCAGTGGGCACCCAGCTGTGAAGCTGTAAGCTATCACAGCTGGGTGCCCACACTGAAGATGCCAGAGTCAGGGAGAGAAGATGGATGGTGAAACCAGCCATGGTGAGGACACCTCTGGACTGAGGGACAGGTAAGTGTCTGTATTTTAAAAGTCAGCAGCAGCAGTTTTTGTAGCTGCTGACTTTTTTTTTTTTTTTGTTCAGCTGGAACTCCGCTTTAAGTGGCTCTCGTTCTTCAAAAGGTTGAGCACCCCTGTATTAGACTGCAATCCAAAGAGGATTACCATTTGTAGGTAAATATGTGTATTATTGAAAGATGTGAGTATCTGTATATACACAGACTAAACACTTGCACTCCACCCTATAGCAGAAGGCCCTATATATATGTGATTTGCAATTCCAGTTAGGGGGCGCATGCCACCCTACCCGTGCCATTATTGGTGGCTAGAGATGTCAATCACTGGATGGAGATTCCAGCACTCGCCGATCATCGGGGAAAGCTGACAGGGAAAAGAATTGTGTGCAAACAACACAGGTCTCTCTGCTGTCAGCATGGACATGTTGTTTCTGTATCTCTCTGCACAGCACAGCATGTCTCGCTAGTAATACAGAGCACACAGTTAACCTTTTGATCGCACCAATGTTGACCGCTTCCTGCCCAGTGTCATTAGTACAGTGTCAGTGCTTTTTATTAGCACTGATCACTGTATTAGTTTCACTGGTGATGTCAGTGGCAATTAGTTAGTCCCCCCCCCCCCCCAGTGTCAGAATGCCCGCAGCATCCCCGCTATAAGTTACTGATCACCGCCGTTACTAGTAAAGAAATAAATTCCAGTATCTATACTGCCATTTGTAGACACTATAACTTTCACGTAAATCAATTAATTTACATTTATTGTGATTTTTTTTAGTAAAGACGTAGCAGAATACATTTTGGCCTACATTTATGAGGAAATTAGATTTATTACATTTTTTTTTATTGGATGTTTTATATCAAAAAGTCAAAAGTATATATATTTTTTTTTCAAAATTGTCGGTCTTTTTTTGTTTATTACACAAAAAAAAAAAAAAATGCACAGGCGATCAAATATCACTGAAAGAAAGCTCTGTTTGTGGGAAAAAGGACTTAAATTTCATTTGAGTGCAGCATTGCATGACCGCGCAATTGTCAGTTAAAGTAACGCAGCGCCGTATCGCAAAAAATGGCCTGGTCACGAAGGGGGGTAAATCCTCTGGAGGGCAAGTGGTTAAAGAGAAGAAATGTATGTAAAAGGAAGTCCAAGAAATCTGTAGATGGAAGAATGACTTAATGCAAAAGAGAACATATTGGAAAATGGGAAAAGAAGAGAAAATTGCTTTGACAAGTATATCTGGAGAACACATTGGGGTTTATTTACTAAAGCTGGTTCACTCAGAATCAGGTGTACTTCTGTATAGAAAGCAATCATCTTCCAGGTTTTATTGCTAAAGCTTAAGGCTCAGTTCACACTAGCTTTGTCAGCAGGTGTCAGACTGGCGTTTGGGAACCGTTTTTAACGCTTCTCAAACGCCTATGAAAATTCTGCACATGGCAGCACACAGTGCTGTTCACACTGAAGCGTTAGCGTTGTGTCAAAACTGATGCCTGGTGTCCAGTCAAGAGGAGTTGAAGCCTCCCATTGTCTATGGTGCCGCTCCGCTAATGCCTGGCAGGCGTTTGTGGTGCGGTTGCGAGGCAGTTGCGAGACGGTTGCGGAGCGTTAATACCATTTAACTTCATTATAGGCGTTTGTGGTGCAGTTTTAATGCTTGGCAAACACCTATCAACCACCTCAAAACTGCGCATGGAGCGTTTGGGGAGCATTAAAAATTCTTCCCAAACGCCTGTCAAACGCTATAGGGGTGTGGCAAGAGTTAGAAGTAGAATCAAGTGTGAACGAGCCCTTAATTAACCATTTCCATACCAGGCAATTTTACCCCCTTCCCTCCCAGGCTATTTTTCACGTTTCTTTTGGTGGTATTTAATCACCGCTGGGGTTTTTATTTTTTGCTAAATTAACAAAAAAAGACCAAAAATTTTGAAAAAAAAAAAACACGTTTTCTTTGTTTCTGTTATAAAAGTTTACAAATAAATAATTGTTCTTCATAAATTTAGGCCGAGATGTATTCTGCTACATGTCTTTGGTGAAAATAACCCAAATTAGGATGTATTTTTAGTTTGTAGGAAAGTTATAGAGTTCACAGACTATGGTATAGATCTGAATATTGATCAATCCTGAAGTACTGACAGCCAATCTAATTTCTTGAGGTCCAAGAATGTCAGAATAGTACAGATATCCCCCAAATGACCCCTTTTTGCAGAGTAGACAGTCCAACGTACTTCAAAAGAGGAATGGCGAGTTTTTTGAAGTTGTATTTTTTTTGTCATAATTTTTTGGAAAATTAAAAAATTAAAAAAAATTATTTTCACTATTTTTTTTTTTTACATACTGTCACCAGTGCAGTACAGCATCATCATATAACTGGCATGGCGGTGAACAGGGACACTGACTGGTGACAGTATGAAAAAAAATATATATATTTTTTTTTTTTTTCTATTATTTTTAATTTTTTATTACATTTTTTTAAATTTTTTTTAAGATTTTTTTTTTCATATTTTACTATGACCAAAGTAGTACAATGTTACCATAGTAACATTGTACTACTTTGGGGAAGTGATCAGTATTTTTTTTATTTTTTTTACACAATTTGCTTATAGCAAAGAATTACTTTGCTATAAGCAAGCATTTACCTGAATGAAATCGATTCATTCAGGTTTTTTTTTTTTTTGCTTAGCTGTGATTTGACCACAGCTAATCACATGACATGTGCATGTGACCTGCTGTGACCATTCACAGCTAGACACTAGTATACAATGGATGGCATGCAACCGCGCAAACTGCGCATGTGCGGGAGCACACCAAATGGCGTGCACCCGGAAAGCTGAAGCATTATTGTGGCCGCCAAACGGCTATAGGGCGGGCGGCTAATGGTTAAACAAGCTGAGGTTAGAAGCTGATTGGCTTCCATGCACAGCTGTACCAGATTCTGAGTGAACCAGCTTTAGTAAATAAACCTCATTGTCAGATTGAGCCTGAGTTCACATACATGCAGTGCGGTATATCGCATGTGATTCGCACAGGAACCGCACCGCATTCCTGTGAAAATCACATGCAATTTGTGTGCGTTGCAAATGGAGCCATACATTTTGTATGGCTCTAATCACACCACACCCGCACCAAAAAGGTGCAGGACCCTTTTTTGGGTCCGCACTAGAATCGGAACGCATGGGTATTCACACCTATATGATGCGATTCTGCACATCGCACCACCTTATGCGGACTGCTTTCAGGGTGTTGTTAACTTAACATACACACTCACAGCAGTTCATATGAGAGGGGAGTGATTCGGATGCGGTGTGGAATTTGCACAAAAAACGCTGCAAATTCCGCACAGCATCAGTGTGAACCAGGGCTCAGTGTCACAAAGAGCCCTCCCCTTCTTTTGGATGTAGCTTAGTATTTCTTAGTATTTTTCTGGATCAATACTATAATGTTTCCTGATCAGCCCTAAGGAACTCCCGGACATGGATAAACTAGTCTTGATGACCGCACATACAGACGTAAAGGTTGAGAAGCACTGAAGATTTTTATTATAAACCATTTTATATTTCTGCCATCTACTATATAAATAAAGATATCTGAATTCAGTATTACTATTCATGATTCCTTTGTATTATTTATTACTAATATTAAGGATTTATATGGTACAGTCATTTTGTACAAAAGCTTTATATTTTACATGCAGAAACAAAGATGTTACCAGAACTTGGAAGGAGTCACTCTCCCAGCAGTTAAGCCTGGCAAACAGAACTACATTGCCTTCCCATACCAGCACACTGAGGTTGTATGGCCAGCAGTGCAAGATGCACTGAAAGATTTGTTGTTTTTTTTTTAACACCCTGGTCACATCGGGTGCGACTTGGCATGCGATTTGCATGCCATGCGACTTGCAAATCGTACGCCAAGTCGCACCCTATTCACAGCGGTCAAATCGCAGCCGTTCCGACTTGGTTGGAGCCGCACTGATTTCTAAAGTAGTACATGCAGGGGTGTGTTTAGGTTTCGTGCTGCCCTAGGCAACACAGAAATTGGCTCCCCCCCCACGGAGAGACCCTGACACCGACCAACACCTCCCTCCCCCACGAAGTGAGCCTGACATTGACCAACACCACCCAGCCCCCCACCCACCCGAGAGAGCCTTCCACTACCACCGCCACTGGCCACCGCCCATACACTGGCCACCCCCCATCCCAGCGAGTGAGAAGACACTCACCTTCACAGCTCCAGACATCCCCGGGAACAAGAGTCAGGCTCTGCATACACCATCAAGCAGCCTGCAACCTCTCTCAGATTCCACCTGGTCTCCATGCTGCGTGTGTGCCTTCTTCCATACCTTCTTTCGGGGGGGGCTGCGCTGCCCATCTCAAAAATGCTGCTGCCCCCCTGAAAAATGCTGCCCTAGGCAAATACACCCCTGAGTACATGCACTACTTTTGGTGCGATTTGCATAGACATCTGTATCAGATGTCTTACAAATCGCACTTGAAATCGGCAGGTCCCTCGACTTTGAAATCATGCGACTTTAAGTACTGTAAGTCGCATGATTTCAAAGTCAGGCTTGATGTGACCGGGGTGTGTAAAGCAGAGAATAAATACTTTTTCTGTAGACCGCCATTCTATGAGGAAGGGGAACACACTGGACACCTGTTTTACTATTGCCAGAGCACAGCAGACCCCTTTGTGTATTGGGGCTTCTCGTACTGACTTGTACTGGTTTAATCCTCAAAGTGGTTCTAAAGTCTAAATGTTTTTATCTTAATGTATTCTCTGCATGAAAGTAAAAAACTCACCACTACTTACCTTCTCTGCTCCCATCTCTAGACACTTACCTGACTCCTCTCACTGATCCAGTGTTGCCCATACTGCAGCATGGCTTTCCTCTCTTCCTGGTTTTACAGGAGACACTGAGGACAGTGGGAGTGATTGGCTTCTGCTACTGCCAGTCAAACTCATGGGAGGAGGGAATGGGGGCATGGCTTACCAGTGCTGTGTATGTCTATGTCCGGAGCGTGCCCACATGTATTACTATTATAATACTGGATTTATATAGCGCCAACAGTTTGCATAGCGCTTTACAATATAACGGGAGACAATACAGCAACAATGCAGTTCAATACAAGAGGGATAGGAGGGCCCTGCTCCTTGGAGCTTACAATCTAAGAGGGAGGGGCTAGTTGTACAAAAGGTAGTAACTGTGGGGGATGGACTGGTAGGAGGAGTAGAAGATTCCATTATTAGCTGATCTCCTTAGCACTCACTTGCTAAGGGGGCACCCAGAGGAAGGAGGAGCTGGTGGGGGACCGCCAAAGAGGAGGTAAGGGACTGCTCTATGAAATATTGTTGCACAAAGCAAGTAATTTTTTTATATTTCAGCCAAAGAAAAGCCTAAACCCCGGACCCTGCATTCACTATATCTGGTCTCACACAGTACACAGAACATGGAAATGCAATTATTTTAGTAAATATAAACTGCTAAATACTTTTTCTCATCAGCTGTTAGAGCAGTCTTGTGATTTCTATAAGTGTCTAGCAGAGCACTGGTTAAAGCTTGTAGGAGGAGTTTTCATTTTCCTCTCACTGTCCTATGAGGCTGCAGGATCCCTGACCCTCTGCCTGGACCAGGGGCGGACTGACCATTAGAACACTCGGGCACTGCCCGAGGGCCCAGCGTCAGTAGGGGGCCCCATGAAATGCCCCTGGTACCTTTCTTAGGCTTTTTTGAGTGTGCTTTGAGTGTGGTCAAGGAAACAGGGGCCCCATGATCCCCTATTGTCCGGGAGCTCCATGAGCTGTCAGTTCTCCCCATTATCTCCAGATAATGGTGAATAAATGCCTTAATTATGGGTTTTTGGAATCCTAGACCCATTCAATTCAGCCTCCGATCACCAGGCGTTTTTTTCACCATTATTTGGTGAGTGCGATCTGAGCACTAATGGGTGTGAACACGGGTGAAGGGTCTTTTGAATAAGGACTTTTCAATTTCACTCTACTCACCATTTTCATCTCAATAATTATTTTGTTGGAGTGGGACTATTCAATTTATATTATATTTATTACAAGTTTTTTTTTTTTTATTTTTTATATTTATTATATAAAATTTTTTGTGAATATTGATTTGCGCTATTTGATGTTTTTTATTGTAATCTGTCAAAATTGACTGAAACCCACAGAAATTTGCTTGACTCATCTTCTACAGAAGAACTGGAGAAAGCTGTCTCTGTGTTCCCGATAAGGCACCAGAAAATTAGGGCCTATGAATTGAACAATACGCAGATGTCTTTTTTCAAAAACTACTACTTGTTTTATTGGGGCATATGAAAAATCGACTCTGCCGAACTCTATGACTGAAGCTAGGTTTACATTTGTGCGGGTGGTGCCACTGCGGATCCGCACGAAAATCTGGGCAGCCGCACCACCCGCACAGAGAAATGCGGACCTGCGAGCTGGTGCCATTAGTTCTAATAGCACGCCACCCGCACTCGAAAACACAACCATACTGGGAACCGAGGTTCCTGTGCGGGCTGCATTTTCAGAAGTGCAGGGACTTCTCTGCGTGTCACAGAGCATGGGAGTCCATTCAAATGAATGAAAAAATATAAATAAACAGTGCAAATCAAACAACTCATTCAATACATGTTACAAATAAAATTGTAGTGAAAATCAATTTAAATAAAGTGCCAAAAAATATTATGTTAGTATCCACAAAAAATATATGCATAAAGTCCTTTTATCCCAGAAAAAACATAAGTATAATAATGATTTCTCCCAAAAAAACAGATGGTGGATGGATGGTGGAAGCACTGTTTTTTTTTGGGAGAAATCATTATATTTATGTTTTTTCTGGGATAAAAGGACTTTATGCATATATTTTTTGTGGACACTAAGATAATATTTTTTGCCACTTTATTTAAATTGATTATTTTCACTACAATTTTATTTGTAACATGTATTGAATGAGTTGTTTGATTTGCGCTGTTTATTTATTTATATTTTTTGTATGTTGGTGTATTACACTGGTGCACAGCAGCAAATTTTCTATACTGAAAGAGTCTCTTTGTGCGCTGGGGTTCTGTGTTACAGTACATTCAAATGAATGGGCTCTCGTGCCTGCGCAAAGCGCGGCCTGCACGGCCGCATATATGTGAACCAGGGCTGAATAAACAAAGATATAACAAATTACAATACAGGTTGCAATATAATGCTCAAGGACATCACGTAGCAAACACCAAAAGGTACAGTGATGTGTATATCCATGTATACATTTATGCACGCTCCTGCAGCCAATCCATTTTTTGGTGCTCTTTAGGTGTTGTGAAGCCATTCATATATGGTGGTCCCCTATGAACATTATTATACTTTAGCAAAAAGTACAATTCAGAAAGAACCATCCTTGGCCGTCCATGTGAATGTAGCCCTAATAGGCAAAAACACTTTGATTAAACCCATAAATGATTTTTTTTCACCACTACATTTCCATTATATTGACATTGTGATGTGGAAGAAAGGTTTAGTGTAATACAGAACTTGTGGTATTTTTTAATAAAAGTCTATACATCGTACCAAAAAAGGGACAAATGAGAAGGAATGGGGGAAAGAGGAATTTGGCTCCAAAATAGGCACAGTAACCACCTCCGTGATGGCACAAGCTCCAACTGACTCCGACAAGACCCAACCCCCCTTTTCAAATCCTGCAAGACCACCCCACAATGCTGCGTACACCAATCAAGTAAGTAACCACCCCCACCCCCCTTTTCCCTTGCCTAGACTCTACCCAAATTACACTCTCTGCCTCGTCTGCACGCCCCAGTCATGCTGGCCCTCCCTTATACTTCGCTCAGTCCAGGCCTTGACTAATGAGAAGGAATTGGGGAAAGGGGAATTTGGCTCCAAAATAGGGACAGTCCATCCAAATGAAGGACGGCTAGGTGTGGTCTGATGGTTATTAGGATTTTTTTTATTATTGAGTTGCAGAGTATTTCTGTCTATGTCAGCATATATATATAGTGTTAAGGTCTCAACAAATCGTTTTCCAGTACACCTTCGATTCTCAGATGGGCTTCTTGTTCATTGCTCACAACACTCTCATAGGAGTACTCAACTCATGCACATACTGATGACTGTGATTGTGCAATGTGTCTGACAATACCAGGCTATATGTTTTCTGAGGTTTAGAATTCTCCGTGCTCACACAAATCTCCCAGTACCTCCCATGTGATGGGGCCATTGACACATTAATGGCAACAGACACAAGTGAAGTAAATGAAATCAATTTATATTTATATCCCTCGCTTGTAATGTAAATGTTGAGTGAGATGTGACCAAATGGCATGGCAGTTGTGGTTAACCAAACATGGATTAATATTTTATGTATTGAGACAGGATAAGACGCTGTCACTGTGAGAAGATAGGGAAATGTGACACAGGATTCGCATCTAGCCCTGGTTCACACTGATGTGGTGCGGAATTTTCAGCGTTTTCAGTGTGAATTCCGCACCACTTTAGAATCGCACCTCGTTCATGAGAACCGCTCCGGGTGTGTATGTTAAGTTAACAACACCCCGAAAGCAGTCTGCAAAACATGGTGTGTTTTGCAGAATCGGATCGCATAGGTGTGAATACCCATGTGATCCGATTCTAATGTGAATCCAAAAAAGGGTCTTGCACCTTTTTGGTGCGGCTGCGGTGTGATTAGAGCCATAAAAAATGTATGGCTCCAATCGCACCGCACACAAATCGCATGTGATTCGCACAGGAATGCATTCCTGTGCGATTCACATGCGATATACTGCACCACATGTATGTGAACCCAGGCTTAGGGTTAATGCGACGTTCCAGACTAGTGTTTCTGGGGATTGAAAGCTGCGGATTGGGCTTTCTCTGGATCCAAACATTCAATTTGGCTAGACACTTGCGATCTAGCTGAGTACACAGGTGCAGGGGCGGACTGACCATTCGAACACTCGTGCACTGCCCGAGGGTCCGGGGTCAGTAGGGGGCCCCATGAAATGCCCCTGGTACCTTTTTATAGGCTTTTTTGGGTGTTCTTTGAGTGTGGGCAAAGACACAGGGGCCCCATGATCCCCTATTGCCCGGGGGCCCATGAGTTGTCAGTCCACCCCTGCACAGGTGTGTGGTGTCGTTATACACTCAGGTATGAGAACAGCTCAGGGCTCCCAGTTTGGATTACACTCCCATTGTGGGAGATGGAAGGTCTCATCGAGGGGTCAGAGTAACCAGCCAGCAGCCAGGAGATCTCAGCCAGGAGGTCTCAGTTCCTGGAGTCAGGTCATCTCCTATTAGAGTGTCTGAAGAACCCCAATCAATAGGCCAGAGATGGGCTGTGCAGCAGGGTGCTGTGACTAACACCCCGGTCATATCACGTGACTTGCAAATCGTATGCCAAGTCGCATCCTATTGCCCGCTATTAGAGCGATCATATTGGTGCGGTTCCGACTTGGTCGGAGTCGCACCGATTTCTAAAGTAGTGCATGCACTACTTTTGGTGTGATTTGCATAGGCATCTGTGTTGGATGTCTTGAAAATCGCACCTTAAATCGGCAAGTCACCTGACTTTGAAATCGTGCAACTTCACTGTAAGTCGCACGATTTCAAAACTGGCTTTGATGTGACCGGGGTGTTAAGGCTAGAGAGCCAAGCATCCAGGAGAGCTGGACAACACAGTCAGACAGACTGGTAAGAGGAGCAGCGTGATACTGCAATTGAAGCTGAGTGAGCTTATGAGCCAGGTAGCTTAGCATTTTCCAGGGTGTGCATTTCTTCTGAAGTTGGAGAAGATCCTGTATATGGGAAGTCATTCATTTGGATACTTTTGCTTTCATTTAAATAAAAGTGGGCTACCACACCCTTAAAAAATAGTTCCCATCTGCCGTGGACACACTAAAAGAACGTATCTACCACTGAGCTAACTACCCCATGTCGCAATATGCAAGTATAAAACATGGTATTCTACTCAATAGTTATGCCACTGCAATATTTCATCTGCTTAATTAACCACTTGCCCTCTGGAGGATTTACCCCCTTCCTGACCAGGCCATTTTTTTTGTGATACGGCGCTGCGTTACTTTGACTGACAATTGCGTGGTCATGCAACACTGTACATAAATGGAATTTATGTCCACTTTTCCCACAAATAGAGCTTTCTTTCGGTGGTATTTGATCACCACTGCGTTTTTAATTTTTGGCGCTATAAACAAAAAAAAGACCGATATATTTGACTTTTTGTATAAAACATAACCAGTAAAAATTTTTTAAAAATCTAATTTCTTCATAAATTTAGGCCAAAATGTATTCTGCGACATGTCTTTGCTAAAAAAAAATCCCAATACGTGTAAATTAATTGGTTTATGTGAAAGTTATAGCGTCTACAACTGGCGGTATAGATACTGGAATTTTTATATAAGTCGATCGGCGACTTATAGCGGGACTGCGGCGGGCATTCTGACACTGGCCTAACTAACTGCCAATAACATCCCAATGATACTAATACAGTGATCAGTGCTAATAAAAAGCACTGACACTAAACTAATAGCACTGGGCAGGAAGGGGTTACCATCTGGGGTGATCAAAGGGTTAACTGTGTGCTGTTTAACGTGCTGTGTGTGTTTTATTAGGGAGACATGCTGCTGTGTATCTCTCTGCTGTGCAGAGAAATACAAAGCAGCCTGTCCTTTCTGGCAGGAGAGAGACCTGTGTTGTTTACACATAGGTCTCTCCCCTGTCAGTTTTACTCAGTAATCGCCAGGTGCTGGTGGGGAATCTCCGGCCGGGACCCGGTGATTGACATCCCTAGCCACTAATGGCGGCACGGGTAGAGTGGCACCCTACTTGGAAATACAAATCACATGTATATATGTGATTTTGCTTAGCCCTGCCGCCCTGTAGCAGTAGTTGTACTATAGGGCGGCGGGAAAGTGGTTAAGAAAAAACTGAAGGCACAAAAAACCAGAACAATGGCATTGGAAGATTCCTTTCCTAGGATAGAATGATGAACCCCAAGCTATCTGCAGCCTCCTGGGATACTCACATAGCACATCACAAGAGGCCATCTACAGTAAAGCACACTCACAATTGTTTCAGCACATCATTAGTGGGCCAGGTGCAAGAACAAGGAAGAAACAGCCAGCTCCCATTAATGTAATTAGAGAAGATGCTTGCAAATAAAGTGACAATCCTATCCTTCCGACCCGTATCCAGCGCCATTCTTCATTGTGCTGACTATTGGACCACTCTTCCTGGAAACATAAGGACTTGCTCGTGGGGGCAGTATACGAATTTAGAGATACAGTAATTATGGTAGGATGCTGACGCACTCCATCAAAGCAAAACAGGCATGCATTTATACTCTGAAACTTCACATTATTGTCAACCAGCTAGTACATTGAACATAGGAAATAGCTGAGACATTCCAGCTTTACTAATCTAAATAATACAAAATCATCATGTCTCAGAAGTCACAGAATTCCAGGAATAGTTATTGAAATACAATGCGGAAATGAAAAACTAAAAAAATTATTGCAACGCTCAATAATTGGATATGTGAATAATTATAATCTACCATATAACCTTGTGCACAATAACGATGTGTCCATAAGAAAATCTGTGTAAATACAACAATATGAAAATCCAATATAAAAGTTCTTCCACTCAGGTGTTGCAACCTAAGGTTAAATCCTCATGTAAAATCAAATGAACAAAGTGAAAAGTCCCAGTGTCTTTTTCATGAAACTTCACTGTGCAATCAGAAAACACAGGTAGTGTCTTGACTTCAGTAAGAAAATTGTAAACTCACCACAAAAATATGCAGTCGAAGGATACAACAGAAAATATGCACTTGTTTGATAGTATTCAGCAAGATCTCTCTCTCTCCAAAGTTAGACTCCTCTGTTTCACCAGGGGTCACTATCAGCACTCACATCCTCCAGATGAATGTTGCAGTAAAGTCCAGTTGCAGGGTCCACTGAGGATGGTCAAGATGCAGTGTCCATCTTGGTGTCGAAGACCTGATGACAGAATTAGCGATGATGGAGTGATCCTCCAACTGTTGTCCAACCAGCCGGGAAAGTAGCTTCTCACCCCACCAGAGTCTTGGCAAGTTCCGGAAGGACTAGGAATGCGGAAATTAATATATGGTTTTACATTTTGACCATAGATATGCTTTACATTTTCTATTTCTGTCTGTGTCCTTGTTGGAAATATTTCCCCTTACTTTTTGTCCTAGTGGCACCAAGCAAAATATGAAAGCGTGGCTTATGTCATCAGGTAAAGAATACACAGAAAGCAATAAAAATCTGAAAGAAAGTCAAACCTTTGCCCACTGTAACAAAAAAAAAAAGATTTTGTTGCTATCTCTGTCCGCATCAGATAGTCCAATTGCTTCCAGCTCTTTGTAAAACTGTTCACTTGGAAGTAGAACATTTTCCCAACAGAGACACATAAAGCAGTATAAACCAGAAAGCTGTTCTAACCCTTCTCTACTTGTAAAAAGATAACACAGAGGTTTTGGCTGGAGTTAAACTTTAAAATGCACCCACTATGTTAAGTGCCACACCCTTATAACTTCTATCACTGTCACTTGAGACTGTAACTGTCCTAGGCAGGGACAATATATTGTCTTTTCAAAATTTCAGGTCTGACTACCTATCTACAATTTCATCAAAATATTTTCGTAGTTAAATCTTTCGAGGAAAAATGTTTTTTTTTTTTTTCCCAAAAATTGTCACTCTGCAGTACCACTGGAAAAATTATGTTAGCATGGTTCTAAAGGCTTTTCACTTCTTTCTATGCATGAGCATAAAAAACCTTCAGTGTGCAGCTCCCCCTCAGCCCCCCTAATACTTACCTGAGCCTCAACGCGATCCAGTGCCGTGCACGAGAGCAGCTGCTCTCCTGGGTCTCTCCATCCTCATTGCTTGGGACACAGCAGTGGGAGCCATTGGCTCCTGCTACTGTCAATCACAGCCAGTGAGGAGGGAGCAGGGTGTAGGACTGAGCCATGCACTCAGCAGGGGGGAGGAGCCAGGAGTGCCAGTGAGGGACCCAAGAAGAGGAGGATTGGGGCAGCTCTGTGCAAAACCATTGCACAGAGCAGGTAAGTGTGACTTTTTTTTTTTAATTGGAACCTTTATTATCACTTTAAGTAGGTTCCATCATCCCAATGGATTGTGTCTTTTAAGCCAAAACAATCAATTAAATTGAATACTGCATTGTGATAGGACAGTTAGATGATGAGCATTTAACAGTTTTGTTGGACATCAAAAAGTACAGACTGCTGGTATTCTAGACAGCTTGATAAATGAAGCCTGCTGACCTATATCCTTAGAAGGCTAAAGTCATGGGTTTTCTAAATGTCTTATTGTCCTAATTATCAGTCAGATAGATTGCATCATTTCAGCAATAGCTAAGCCTAGGTTTCTCAGTTTAAGTTCAAAGATCTGCTGAATGGATCCATTAATTATTTGTGCACCAATAAAATTCAAACTCTTTGCTGAACCATGGCACATGTTGCAGGTCATGAATGTGTATCTGCTTAGAGTTGCGAAGATCTTCAGCAACGTACTGTGATCATTTACTGCAGACCTCAGCCATAGGCAGACCGTACAAACATATTTTAATGGTCCCCCAAGGAAGGTAAATCAAAACCTGGAATTGTCTGTGACAAATATTGAGAAATGTGTAAAGACATTAACAGTGCATGAACAAAATGACATAAGACGTGCATTACATCAATTTCTCAATTTAAAGTGGGGTTCCACCCAGGGGCGGACTGACAACTCATGGGGCCCCTGGGCAATAGGGGATCATAGGGCCCCTGTGTCCTTGCCCAAACTAAAAAAAAAAGCTATGAAAAAAGTACCAGGGGCATCTCATGGGGCCCCCTACTGACGCTGGGCCCTCGGGCAGTGCCCGAGTTTCCAAATGGTCAGTCCGCCCCTGGTTCCACCTAAAATTGGAAGCTCCACTTATCTGCCTCCTTTCCCCCTCTGCTGCCACATTTGGCACCTTTTGGAAGAGACAGCCACATTGGCACCTTTTGGGGGGGGGGGGGGAGCAGGTACCTGGTTTTGAAAGTACTCACTCCCACTTCCAGCTCAGTTCGCCCCAGTGAACTGAGACATATGTTTCGCCCCCTGCAGCCCTCTGGGATACTTCACAGGTCCCAGAGGACCGTGGCCCA